CGGCCTACGGCCCATTGTTCCTGCCATGGTCTGACAAAGAGCCTGAGGGCCAGCGGTCGGATTGGTCTGTTGTGGTTGGCATATCGGCTGGACGGCGACACATCCGTCTGAGGGGCCTCTCACCGCTGCCACGGCGGGCCCCTCGTCTTCCGAGGCACGAGAGCCTCTCAGCACGGCTTCTCGTTCTATGGGGGCCTCTCACCGCTGCCGCGGCGGGCCCCTCGTCTTCCGAGGCACGAGAGCCTCTCAGCACGGCTTTCCGTTCTATGTCACAGAAACGGCCCAATAGCCCTATTTTTGTCAGCGTGCGCGATGAGCTCACTCCCGTCAGGACCGACGAAGGTTTCAAGCCGCTGCAGGCACCAGACCCCTCTGGCGCTGGCCTCCGTGCCCGCTCTCTCGCTCTGAGACGTTCGCCGCCGGCCTCTGCAGTATGTCATCAGGCCCCGTCCTCGTCCCAGCGGCGCCGAGCTGGCGCGTCGGCTTCGACGCCCCTCCCCCTCCCCCAAGGCCTCCGTCGGCCGCGACGGACTGTTGCGCTCCGGCATTGTGACGTCACGACGCGTTATCATGCTGGAGCATACGGGCCGCGGCGCGGCACTGGCCGCGATTAATGGCGCTACCAGCGGCAGCTCATCACGTGACAGAGCAGAAATAGCGAGCGGCACGACTGTTACCGCAGTGAGTGAGCCTGCCGGCAATTCTGGGTGCATGGCTGTTGTTTTTGCAAAAAATACGAGCAGATAACGATCCAGCAGGGATGTGGTTTTGGAACGTTCGTGTGATGTGTTTGTATTTTGATGTATGGAAGCAACGCTAGATATCGCAAAGAAAAATGAGGATGAGGATAGCAAATCGTTGTTGACATTGTAGCAGCCACACAAATGTTGAATGACATTGAAAGGTTGAGGTATCACGGTGTACCACAAGTTCTTTTCAGTAATCTGACAGCACTCATGCATAATTCAACGATGTTATCCAGGCTCTGCACTTTTGAAGGCATTGCACGGTCTCAGGCGACGGCCACGGCCACAGTCCGGTTCATTGATATCAGAAGGCCTTCATTTCTTCGTTAATGGCAGGACAGAAAATGACACATTTCATGTTAAAGTTGAGTGTGAAGATGTCACCGTGCTGATGTGTATGTTAAAAGAATTACTCAATGCACGCCTGTCCTCTGTCTCAGTAAGCCTATGAGATTAACTAGAGTTCATCATGATCGTTTTGTCTCGATGGATGTAACGTTTGGTTCATGACGCGAGATTCATGTGAATGACTGTTATGCCTCATTTTTCCGGTAGCGCATGTCTGTGCATGAATGTCTATCCCGAGCGAAATAACTTTCAAACCTGACGGAGGCGAGACCAGTGCATTAAGTTTCGGGAGGTTAGGTGGGGTTGATGGAGCCTGCCTAAGATGGAAACACAGCTATGCGGTCGAACCTGCAGCTGGCTAAAAATTAATAGAAATTTGTGTGAGAATGGACCGAATGAATGGTTTTAGGAATCAAATCGCTTTCACAGTTTGTTTCGAGGCTATTTTAGGAGAGTTCAAGATATGTTTGTGCAATGCTTCTTGTGTGGTACATCATCTTGGTCTGGATGTTCACCACTTAAACCTATGGACCGTACCTCGATCTATGGTCCGAGCTTGGGTTTAGGTTAGCTGGCAATGGTCGTCCTGCGTACTGCGCTGCAACATCATATACTTGAAACCCACCTCCAATGCCAGGTACTCCCAACTAGGGGAATTTCCCCTAAGGAATGTGAGGATCTCAGGGGAGATCGAATTGCGATGCAGCCAAATTAGGCCTGAGTGAAAAAGACAACTGTTCAGTCGGCGCCAATAGGTAGGTGTTGACTAAAAGGTTATGTTGTCACATGCGCGATTGAAAATATCGGCCACAACCAAAAATACCTGCTGTTGCAGCCGAAAACAACGGTCGCGTTTCCACTGGGAACGACTGCTTGAGGACGAGCGAGATGGCGAGCGTTCAATTCTCTAATGTGATTTGCATCGGTATAATACAATCGTTGTGGGGAATACTTCTTTGGATCCATCAGACGTTTATATGATCATGCCCAGAATAAAAACTGGTAAAAGTTATAGACTACATTAATTTAGTTGTGCCGTTTAGTTGAGGGCGGATGGTCATAGTTTGATTCACCATCAGAGGGAAACAAACCTAAAAAGGTGTGCGAAAACACTTGACTTTACCACGCCGCCATCAATCTCCCTAACTGAAGTCCCTCCTCAGGTGCTCTCGCAGCAGCCGCAGCGCGTCCTTTTCGAACGACTGCGAGGCTAATTTTAAACGGCTGCAGACCGCGTCGATGCGGTGACCCAGCCTGGCTGATGCAAGAGCGGGAGCCGGCGCGCGCGCGAGCTGTCGTCACGCGGGGCGCGTCGGCATGCGGATCGGCTCGCTTCAGGAGCCGGGTTGTTTTGGCCAGCTCCGAACAAGCGCCGTCACCGTCCGGCTGTCACAGGCCGGGCCGTGAAGCCTGCGATAATTGATGACGTCTGGCGCTCCGCGCGAGCCGCCGGCGCTAGTTGCGAGCGGTTGGACGGCGCTTCCGCCAATCAGGAGCGCCCGCCAAGACGGGGCCGGCGCGCGCGCCCGCTCGTCCTGAAGGCTGCGCGACGTCAGCTTTCTGGTCGAATTGTCGTGATCTGTTTGTCGTTTGTCTACGATACGCTTCGAGATCTGTCAGAAAGTGAAAAACGGATGCGGGGCGACTACAAAATGCCGGCAGAACTTCAGACGCACGTCTGTTCGTCTTGCGTCGGGCTTGTCTCCTGAATGTACGCAATCAAATGTGGCACGGTTCCTTGTTCTGCAGCGGTGTATTTGCATAATTACCGGTAGAGATAAGATCATTCTCTGAATAATTTCGTCTGTTTACGCTTACGCTGTCAAGGATAGACATGGATGTGCATATGGGGCGTTGAGACGCACGACTTGATTTAACCATAATGATCGATCATAACGCGATCAAGGAGCATAAGCGTTATGAACATGCTCCATGCACCGCATATGCGCTATGCAGGGGCATTTCAACCGTGTGATGGAAACCTTGGGTTATGAAACTGGATGAAATTATCGTATACGGGAAAACAGACTCTGGGAATGCAGGTTTCAACCCTCTGTCTTTCAACGAAAGTTTCAACCCTCTGTTGGTGTACATGGATTTTGGTCGAGTTAAATCCTTGCCGTAGTCTATCTCGACAGCATATTTTCCTCGTCTTACAACTGCATGATGCCGCAAACGGATGAACTGCGAGAACAGCGGCCTTACGATTTCGATGCCGCTGTACCGGGTGGTTATAATAGCATACACACACACACGGTAAACACTAGCGAGCGGAAGTTACTGGTGTGCATCGTGCGAGAAAGCCTCTTGATCCCTTGTGGAGCTCCGCGTTGGATGTGGTGGAGGAAGCCGTTGCGGGAACAGGCCACGATATCAAAGGCACACATGCTCGTTCGGTGGCGTGGACACATGCACCCCCGCCCCAGAAGCTCCGTGCCGATCCGGCCAGGGAATGGCACACATGATGCTCACGTCCAGTTGTCGGCAAACGATTTCCTGGGGTGACTAGTGTGCCCGCAGCAGCTGCAACTGCTAGCATGGTGTCATTTGTCGGTCGAAAGTACCCATGTTCCGCTCCCCGCCCGATGCAACGAACAAGTGCAGCGCGTCCTCCATCCGCGATCTCAAAGAAAAGGAGCTGCAGTCTCCGTCCGAGCGCAGACGCAGCGGGCGGGTGGATTGGTGCTGGTCCGGGGACCGTGAGGCTCACGTCACTAACACCGTCCATGATGGCGACGTCAGGTAACTTATGTATGAATCACTGTTCCGTGTTTGCCGATGAGTGTTTGAGACCGAACCAATGTGATGGTACTGCGGCAGTGTGGTGCCAAGAGGGCTGCTGTAATCCCAATGGACGTTGGTAGTCCAGCTTCTAGCGGGGCATCGCGGGGTGGTGCAGTGGTCTTATCTGAACTTAAGGGTTGTTATGCAGAGTTCTGCTAAAACCAGTCCTTTAAAGCAAAACTTGTAGCTTATGCTGTCGTGGTGCGCTGGGTATCATGAGCTTCAAAAGCGTGAGCTTTTCTTAACGTACTTGTAAGCCATTTCACGATGCCTTAAAGCTTTGTAACGTTGTGATATTGGAATGGTGCTGAAGCTAGCACGTGAGGAAAGTCGCGTGCGCCAATTCCTTTAAGAAGGCTGTGGATCTACGATTATGGAAGATGTGAAGGGAAGGTGGCGTGAAAAATTTCAAAGCTTGAAGGAAATTCTTTACCAAAGCGTACTCATGTGTGAGTGTGTGCATGTCTTTTCTTTTTGTCAGGCAAGTTATTCTTGTGTTGTAATGTTTCAAGCATTGCTCAGTCGCGGCAAAACGTATCACGAAAATATTTCGCAACTTGCGCAAATGTGCCATATTTTCTATCCTGTATATCACAATACAATAGCGCGAATGTAAGTCGAGCCGAGCTCATCATCTACGGTGCGACGTCTGGCTAGGAGCTGCATTTCAATTGCGCCAAATCCACATCACCACCGCTTACCGTACCTGTCATTTTTTTTTTTTAAACGCCTTGACTTTCTTTACTGTGTATTGTGTTCAGACGAGGAATCGTGTACGCTGCTTATTTCTAGACTTATGCGCCTTCCACTTACATCAAGGAACTGGACAGCTTGATGGTTGAAACGGCCCGCTTACATACATTTCATACAAATTTCCCCGATATGTCATAGTTAAAACAGTTCAAGTACCAACTGTACCTTAAGAAGCTGGTATGCTTTGGAATACTGACTAGGATTATGCAGCCAGTAAAAAAAACTTCGTGAAAAATGCTGCAGTATAATTGATCCACGTCCCAGGGGACAACCTTGGCCGGATTACGCAGCGTCGTCTAGAAACAGCCCCATCACCCTTCTCAAAACCCTGTTCGGCGCCGTTCTAGTGACGCGTGCCCCTCGTTGCAGGAGAGCATCGCAATGGGAGTGTACAGAAGAACGGTAGCACCGGCCAGCTGTCCGACGTACCCGAAGGAAAAGCTGGTGACCTGCTGGCGCCACCCGCACCAGATGCGGGCGACTCTACGCACCTCGAGAGAAGGGTGGGACTCTTCTCTGGGACTGCTCTAATCGTCGGCACAATGATCGGTGAGTGTGGCTTCGGCCGGCCACCCGTGGGCGGAGCTTCGGCCGACCATCCTGTGCGGTGCTTCGCCGGCCACCCGTATGTGGAGCTTCGGCCGGCCACCCTGTGCAGTGATTCGGCCGGCCACCCGTGTGCGGTGCCAAGCTGTTCAGTTCAGCGAACGGCCAGGGAAGCTGCAGTGGTGCACCCGCCCGGTTCAAAATAACATCGCTAGTGATTTTTGCGCGGTGGGCGGCTGTAAATCATTCCCTGCTGTGATTGAGCGGTTGTTCGGGCGCTTCATTTATCGTTGCGCTGGACGCGGGCATTCATCAGCATTGCCGTGACCGAGGCCTCTCTGGTGTGCCGGCGGCACGGAATGCTGCTACATGTTGGGCTCCGAGGTCTTGGGCAGAAGCGGAACCGGGAGAAATCTTGCGGGAGGCGGGGCGCCGACGCCAGCCGTTCGCCCTCAAGTCAGAATACTGTACAACAACCAGGCAAACGGAGCAAAAAACGTGGTGCTTTGATTACATCCTGAATGGATTTGCTGGGAACCATGTACGACAGTGCTGTATAGTGCCTTGGCGGCTTTCATTACATGGACCCGGTATTGATTGCATTGTACGCGGCGACAGGGGCGATGGAATGCGATGCTTGGCGTGCCGGGGGCATTGACCTGCTGGAATAAGTATTGCATCAGCACGGAACCTTTTGGTCGAGACATTCCAGGACAGGGTAATGCAGTCAACAAAGGCTCGCCGTCCCTGGTAGCGTTGTCGTTTACGGTAGCCCGCTTCGATGTAGACATTTCCAGGCGTCGCGTTTTTCACGTGGAGACAGACAGCAGCGATACGGGTTGATTATACCCAAGAGCCTGCGGCTTTTTGAAATAATTGTGCAAATACTTTCACGATTTTCTCAGCAGTCCGGCTGCCACAATATCGAATAACATGCGTAGTTAACTTGTGGTGAACTGGCTGGAAGGAAATTACCGAAAATTGTTGTCCCGCATCCTAATTGAAGGAGTTTCTTTTACCCCGCTAATAGGACTACTGATGCGTTCGTTCGCTATCTCTTAATGTACAACGCTGGGAGCTTCTCCTCTGTTTAGAAAGCCTTGTGCTGCATGAGAACGCTGAAGGCGACAGTCTCCCGGAAGAGAGCATACTCATGTGGTTCGAACTTAGCAAAAACCTCTTCAGCTTATCACACATAGTGAGTTGATATGAACCTCTTCCGACCCGAAACAAAACCAGCGGCTATGAATATGCAGCGCAGGCGAGGCGTGAAAAATCAGCTCAGCTATCGATGTCTGAGTACCGAACACCGCACATCCGTTACCAAATTCCTCACTAGCTTCTAGCAGGTACATGTCATTGGCGTCCAGCCTTAAGTCTTCATCAAGCTTCTCATTCAGGGGGTTTTCACGGCGCGATTCTACCAAAATGTGTCAAAGCTACATCGCATAGCTGTGCGCTTGAGCTGAGTCGTCGCTAGCGCGTCATCCTCCCCATCATTCCACATATAAACAGCTGACGAGACGCGTGGCGTCAGCTGGGGAAGGCCAGACTGCAAAAATACATGTGACGCCGAACGTGCCCGCGGAGAGAGGGAAATGAGGCCACAAATCCCAGCGCTCACGCCGTGAAGCCGAGCACCACGGTTTCGGCGCAGGGTTCACAGCACCAATCTCAGCACATCAAAAGCAACTGTTTGAAAAAAATGAAAGAATTAGGATGTTGCGATGGTGTTTTAAGTTTAAAATGTCCCTAGAATACCCCACTTATTGTTTTAAAGCACATATTCCTCTGCAATTCAGCGTCATATGGCCTTTACCGGGATCAGCGCACGCAAGCTCCAGGCTCTTTACGTCAACGTCACTGAGGCGTCCGGTGTAGCGGATCTATGCATTGCAGACTAAAACCCAGTCTGCAATAAATCATATACGGTATAATAATTTTAAAAAATTGTACTAGCATCCACACGCCCTCCCTCCCCCCCCCCCCCCCCCCCCCCCCCCTCCCGCTGTGCTGTGACGTGTCCGTGCGCCCGACACCAGAGACGGTGGCGTGTTAACGTCCCCCGCAGCCGTCCGTCCGGGCCCTGTTGCATGGAGATGACACGTCCACGTGCATTAGTAAGTGAAACGGACAGAACTACCCGTCCGAAATGCGCGGCGGCTCCATAAAGTCGCCGACGATTGTGGAGCGAAATGTGGAGTTCCTCACCCCCCCCCCCCCCTCCCTCCCCTCTCCCTGAAAGCTGGACGCGACTGCCCGATGTCTTCTTTAACGAGCCATAGCCCCGTTTCAAGTCATTGTTCGCTCCTGCAAACGATGGGAACGGTCATTCATGTCTCTAGATGCGTGACCAAAACCACGTGTGTTCTGAGCCTTTTGTTCAATAGTCAACGCCTTGTTCTGTGAACGTCTTGTGAAGTAGTCCCCAGTGGCTGACGGAATGCTGGAATGAATGACGGCCTTCCACGTGTTTATTCCGGTATAAACGCGACAGCCGACATTCGACCTCCCGAAGCCGACATTCCGCGCCGGCTTTATTGCTGGTTTTAGTATTAGATTGTCTGCGCTCGCCTTTTGCGCCTCAGGCAGAATATTTTCACGCGATGTGGGCGTTCTTTGCCACTATTAGCGGCATACCATGGCAGGATGGAATGTCTTCGACATGCTGCAACACTGCATTGCATGAGGAGTTCATTGATAGCGTGCTTGATCTGGGTTGTGTTTGTCTGTCAAGTTAAAATAAGCGAATGCGATCTCAGTAATGCCGGTTTTTCTCTGTCTGAAAAATATGTCTGCATGTGTCGGTAGAAAAACACCACACTGTGATATGACGGCCTGTCTTCGTCTTCAGGGTCTGGGATATTTGTATCCCCGAAGGGTGTGCTGGAGCGCACCGGATCCGTTGGACTCTCCCTCGTCGTGTGGGCAGGATGTGGCGTCCTGTCCATGCTTGGTGAGTGGTTTGGGTGACCTGCTGATCATAGCGCGGCCAGTCCGCCAGACCGGACAGCCAAACCGAACCGGGAAAGCACATTGGGCATTCCGCTAGAACTATAAAAATTCTTCAGATATTGCACCCAAACTTTCCCCAGAAAATCTAGCGTCGTCTGCACGGGCCACGGCGCATGTAGCGTTCGCGTGCGTTCCAAATTAGGATGAAAAAGGGGACACGCGATTGGTACGTTGGTCGCCAATTTGCTTTTTATGTGACCTGGAGGTTGGGCCATTTCTTTTCATGGTGCTCGATGATGGCTTGCCCTAATAACCATTGCTTTGGTGCGAGAGGTCCCAGAAATGTAGCGCATGGGGAGACGAATGGGGAGAAGCTTGTCACGCTTTTGGCCCATGAAATAAAACAAGTGGATAAAGTTGGAAAAAACAGACTATCGCATTCCAAAATTACATTTATGAATGGTGTGTTATGAACATCATGTGTTATGAGCGTCATATGTTCTGAGTATCATATGTGATGAGTGTATAAGAATGTGGTATGCTGTATAATGATATGAGTGATGTGTGTTCATTGATAGAATTTGGAGAGCTAGCATTAAATGTTTTCAAGAAATTTGGGGAGGTCCGCAACACAAGCCAGACCAGTACGGTTCGAAAATGACAATGCATACTGTGTTGCCAAAGTGCCGGGAGGAGCATCTTGCAACGAAGAACTGCTTAAGTTGTGTGCATGTGAATGGAAGGAGGCGTGGTCGCTCCCACACCTGCCAAACGGTATACTCCATCTATAAAAGCCAAGCTTCAAGCGTATACTTCACGGAATGTTACAAGCAAAACGTCTAAATACTATACCTTCGCGTTCTCAGAAGGCGGTCGTCATTTGGCTGTTTTTACTCGGCCCCCGATCGTCTCTGGCCTACACCTGACCTACTAATGGCTCGCCCTTTGACCCGCCCTTGACGTACCTTTTACTCATCTCTGACCCATCCCTGACCCGCCCCTGGCCGCCCCCGGCCCGCCCTTTGACCCGTCCTTGACCCACAATTGACCCGCCCCTTGACCCGCCTTTGACCCGCTCCTGACCCGCCCCCTGACACGCCCTCCAACCCACCCCCTCCCGCCCCTGACCCGCCTTTTGACGCGCCCTTGACCCGCCCTCTGGCCCGGCCCGCAGGTGCGCTGGCGTACGCCGAGCTGGGCACGTTGATCCCGTCGTCTGGCGCCGAGTACGTCTACCTGCTGGTGGGGCTGGGCCCACTGCCGGCTTTCGTCTTCTCCTGGGTCTGCTCGTTCGTGCTCAAGCCCAGCATGCTGGCCATCATCTGCCTGTCGTTCGCCGAGTATCTGGTCGAGGCGTTCGTCGAGGAGTGCGAGCCGCCGGCCCACGTTGTGACGCTCGTCGGGATTCTCACCATCGGTGAGTCGATTGCCGGCTGCTGGTGACGGCCGTTCTGCTGGTGTTAGTGTTGGTGCTGCACCGACGAGAAGCGACGTGCGGTTTAAGGAATGTTGCATATCATCGTCATTGCAGGCTACTCAACACGCTGCCATGCTGCATGCCGTGGCGCGGGTGTTGGTAATGCAGCGTCTAAGCCGGGCCTGATTCTCCCGGAGTCCGTTTTCCTGCCGTGGTGAGGGGCAGGCGACGCCATGTAACCTCAGTAGCTGAGTGCGTCGTAAACCAAGAATGATAACACCGACCTGCATGCTGAAGAGTCACTGATCGTTGTAACAATACGAACACCGATCCTTATTGAGACCTCCAATGGAGCGCCTATGGTCGTTTTGGCTTTGTTCTGCCGTTCCGAACTATATATTGACATTTTCGTGATGAAAATTGAGGCTATTTTTAGACGAGATTCAAATGCATCTGGGCAACCTAGATATTTTATCCGTGCCGTGACCCATTTGGCATTCGTGACCACACGGCATTTATGCACCCGCGCGCTTCCAAGTTGGCCCTGCGCTTCGTCTCCGATCCGGACCGCTGACCATCCGTGTGTCGGAGTCGCGCGGTCTAGCAGCAGTTCTCGTGCGCCGCCCACCGCGCGAGGGTCTGTACCCTGAGCGACACAGCTGCGACCGATCTCGACTCTCCTCCGAGACAGCTGTGGCCGGTCAGCCAGCAGGCGAACTGCACTCAGACCTGACGCGGGCGGCTGAGGCGTCTTGGTCGCGCCGGAGGCTGTAAACCTGGGCGAAGTCGCGAGGTCGCTCGGTGCGCCGCGAATGCCGCCCCCCCCCCCCTCCCCCCGCCGCCGCTGCTGTTCGTCGCGCAGCTTTTGAGCGTCCGGTCTATTTGTGTTATTGTTACCGCATTTTAGCATGTTTTCGAGACAGCGTGCGTAACAGCCATGCTGCTCGAAGCTAAATCGAGCTCATACATTTGGGAGTGCGTTGGCAGGCGCCCGCTGTTCGCACGTCGTGCCAACAGTGCGAGCTCGGCCTCAAGGCGGACCTGCCGTCGACGCCGCGTCTGTGCCGATTTACGGCGGCGAGCGGCGGCCGGCCGCGCTCTGGCTGACAGCGCCGCCGTCTGACACTGACCTGCAGGAGGTCGCGCTGCGGGAGCAGGGCCGCCGGGCCGATCTGGGCGGCCGGGGCTGGTCATATCGACCGCAGCTGCAGGTGGTGCGCGGCCGCCGCGCCGCTGCCGGACCGCCCGGCGCGGGGTCAGGGGTGGTCGGAACAGGCCGGGGTGGAACGAAAGAGGAGGGGTACGCCTGGGAGGGGGACACGCTGGGTGAATGGGGGGGGGGGGCAAGACGGAGGGCAGAGGATGTAGCTGGCGAGGGTAGACTAGGCAATGAACAAGAACCACGGAGGGCGCAAGACAATGGAGTGCAGCGTTGAACAAGTTCAGTAGGGTGCTAATGAGGCGTGCAGGACTGGAAGCCAGACAGAGTGAGCTGGAGAGGGATGGCTTGAGGAGTGAAATTGTGAAGTTCTCTTGGGTTGAACTTGGTAGCTGGTTGAGTAAGAAGGACTCAAGGAGACAAACTGGGAAGGATTCCTCGCGCGGTAGGAAGTGACAGAACAACTGAGCGAAAGAGGAACTTACCACGTTCTGGGTATGGCTCAGCTTGTGATTAAGACCACGTAGCGCACGGCTGAAGAGCACTCCAACAGCGTGGAAAATTAGACCAACAGACGCACGGCTCAAATAACCAGAAGAACTGCGAACAAAAACTGGAAGTTTTCGCCACCGGACAGCGCGAGCGCCCAGTCTCTGACGCCTCGAGCCCGGCAAGCTCCTGACCGGGTCTTAGCAGGGACCCGCCCCGCGCCCCGCCCCGGCCCCCTTCTAAGTGCGTTGCCAACTACCCCGCCGGTTGGCACCTCCTTGCCATTGTCTGGGGTCGCTAATGGACGTGGGCAGGCGGCGCCGGCGCTCGAGCCGGGCCAGTGCAGCATGCCTGGCGAGCGGACAGCAAGCTCCGGCCGACTGCCGACGCCGGCGCCCGTGTTCCGCGTCACGCGCTGACGCCGCTGACGTTACTCACTGATGGATCTGACGTCACTGGGACACTCTGCCGACATTGGCAGAGAGGGCACGCCGAGGCCGCGGGTATGTGGTGCCGAGGTCATGAACTGGTGCTGCTGACTTTGGGGCCGACGGTTCGGACGGGGTGGAGCGGTGCTGCCGAATCCATTCTTGCGCTCGACTCTTTGAGCGCTGAAACCGCTCCTGTGCCGCCCATGGTGTGTGCCCCAACTTCGATGAAGAGCACTGTTGTAAAACGGCCTCGATGTTCGGACGAGAACCCAGAACATGAAGCAACAATACAGAACCTATTTCACTGAGCTCGTGGTGGTGGCAATACCTTACGATGCAATTGAGCCTGTGGGCTTGATAAAAGCAGGAAAGGATTTTAGCTCCTTATTTTGAGCATGGTGAGTTCAGAGTTCTTGTACTGAGTTATGGACTTTGAAGATATCAGGAGGTGCTGGTTAAACAAGTCATGTACTGCCAGTAGTGCTGTCAATGTATTTAATGATTACGCCGTGACGTCGTTTAACCATCACCTGCCAGCTTATGGAAAACCGACGGCTTAGCATAAAAACTCTGACGTCATAATGCAACACAGGGACTCCTGCACAATTATGTACAAGGTGCGGGGTATTACAACAAAAACACCGCCTGTCAACTATGGGCCTTGCAGCCTCTTGCGTTCAGCCCACTGAGCTCTCCAGCGAATAAAAAACACACTTCCTGCACTGCCCTCCCACACTTCGCACCACATCGACAATCGATTCCCCCCTGGTTTCACAACACGCCTCCAGCAAACACGACATTCCAAAGTCGGTGTCGACTCCGTCCGCCTGAAGCTGATGACGTCAGCGGCGCGCGCCTCAGGCGTCACCGATGGCTGTCTCGTCAATCAGTGACGTCAGGGGCGGGGTGGGACCGGTCATCTGGGCTGGGACCCACGGGTGAGTGACAGGGTCGGTAGGGGGGGGGGGAGGATGGGTGCCGCGCCTTGTCGTCCTGCCGGAGCCAATCACAACAGCGGTCACATGAGACCTGCTGGCTGTCGGCGGCGCCCCAACGCCTCGGACCTCTGAGTGCCGGGGCCGGCTGAGAGAGCCTGGCTGACCCCGCCAGGCCCTGATTCACCCCGGTCTAACAATGGCTGTGACCTTCTCCTCCGGCAAGGGCGCGCCTGTTTCCGTATTGGCAATATGTTCCCGGCCGAAAGCTGTCTGATTCTCGGGTCTGGTCGACTCGATCGCAGTCAGTTGCAACGTTACTACCAAGCCTTTCAAATTCAAAATACTACCAAGCCTTTCAAATTCATCCGCCCGCATTGGCGCACGGCGGATGCATGCCAAATAAACTGGTGGATTCGATGGAAGCTCGAATGTCTCGCGGGTGTCATTTCTGGTCCAAAAGGCCGTGCATTCCCGCCGTAACGTGGCAGGAGCGTGCCGGTCTCCTGATGGTGACCTTCAGTCGCAATACATGATGGCTTGTGCTCTGTATGTTAAGCATCGCGTTCTGATGGTGTTCACAGCCGCACATTCGGATGGATGTCTTGCCTCGTCGATCATGCCATTGGCTGACGATTTCGGTCACGCTAAGCTAAGTGTTAACCTAGAGTCATGCTGAAGTAAGCTTATAAAAATGAACGGCCGCGAAAACTTCATGGCGTAAACCTGAGCTTGGTCTAGATGTAGGATCAGTTTGCTGATGATGCATACATTTTGATTGTTTTCCAATAGCAATAACTACTCTAACATTTACCTTCATGCCAATAGTTGTGAAAGCGGTTTATCTGTGTTACGGTTTTAATCTGGTTGTGCACGATTGTAAAGAACAAATGAACAAGGCTCCGTGTTTTGCGAGGCTTTCCCCTTTGGTTACTCGCTGGTTTTAGCAAATTGCTGACCTCTTGGAGAGAAAGGCTTGAGCTTGTCAGCTGTTCAGATGTAGTTCAACTCTTATCAGACCATTTTTGCCGATGTGTTGTGATGTAAAATTGGAGACTGTCGCTCTAAAAATTGCTTCGGGGAGCCCTCGTCGTCCGTACTGAGCTAATAAGACATGATTAAGAGAAGCGATCGATTTCTGGAGGGCATCATTAGTCAGTGCTTGGGTTGGCGGAGCAATATTTTTCCCCAGTTCAGCAGCGCCCGGCGGCATCGTCTGCGTCCCGGGCTGGTCGATCCCGATCCCCGATATCGGCGCCCCCCCCCCCCTTAGAAAATGACGATAAGAGTGCTGCGATTTAATTATTGGTGGTTGACGGCGCATGCAGATTGGATTTATGATGGGGGACCGCCGCAAATGCATTTGGGGCATCAAGCGACGTTTTTTATTACATTGCGGCGTTTTTTGTGCCGGGCATTCACGGAACGGGCAGGCATAGAATTGGTGTGCGTCACAGGTGACAAATAGGTTCATGGTGGAGGTTATCTGCATTTACACCGGTGGTTGGGGCATTTGGGAGGGAGCCAAGTCCAGGCGCCATCGCCTCCGGCCCCCTCCAACGCCAAGTGCCTACTCTACCAACTCCATTCTACTACTACTAGTTATGGCCACTCTACTTCTTCTGCTCTACTGTGCTCTACCCATTTATGAACGAGCACTCGACTGCCTGCTTCCTACTACTTCTGCTTCTCACTACTGTCCTGCGTATTTTCTACCATTCTGACGCCCATTATACGCGCTCTTCCTCTCTGTGGTGAAGTACTCACCCATTCGCGTTCATTTGAAGATAACCAGTGCGTAAGGGCAAGGACACTTCATGGGAAGCGGAAGTATATCGTATCGTTAACAGTGACATCCTTTGATGGTATCCTATGAATTATATCATTTCGAGAACATATTGCTGGTTTACCACACAGATCACAGGAACATACGATCACAATTTTGCATGCTGTTATTTTGGTTACCCGCTTTTGTCTGCGTTGCTATCGTTTTAGTATGTTATGGCCTCCACCCAACGAAGAACAGTGGCATATCCTAAAGAGCACAGCTTTTGCAGTAAAAACCCACGCACTTGCACCGGCAACTGTCTAGCCTTTTGTACTCGAGGATATTTGTGAAGAGAAATCATCCATTGAAGCAACTAGAGCTCTCACGTTCAGTTGGAAGATTATCAGGTTAAAAACATGCGAACCATGTATTGTGAATGCGAACATTCCGCAAATTGTTCACCGCAATATTTGAGATTGAAGTTATCAGGTCATGGTAGTGTGTCCGTATCCGTGTGACGCATTTTTATTCATATCATCGCATCTTCGGACTGTCTATCTTCCGCACCTTTCGTGACGATCAATGTCTGTTGCAGGGGTCATCACCTTCATCAACTGCTTTAGCGTCAGGCTGGCCACCAAGGTGCAGAACGTCTTCACGGCCGCTAAGCTGTTCGCTATCGGCATTATCGTGATCGGGGGAATGTACTCGCTGGCCGAAGGTATGTGTTTTGGCGCCGGGCCTCCGACTCCGTGGCCTCCCACAGCTTGCCACCGAGCTATTTGTGCAACGGTTGGCCTCAGCTCACGAACACGGCCATCCTCGGGTGGCGGGCTGTAAAAGATAGCTGACGCTCTACTGTCAGCAGCTTTTGCTGACGTATTTTAATGGACCGTTTTGTGCGCATGGTCTTTAGGTCATCTGGAAGCTAACCCCTTTTTGTCTGCAGGCACGTAGCGTAGGTGTTTGCAGGTATACCGTGGCCGGGTAGTGGAACGGTCTGGAGTGTGGGAATGCGCTCGTCGTTTCCTCGTTTCGGGTGTTGCGCGGTTTCTTCTTTTACCCTGCTATGGCACAAACTTGATATAAAAATATGTGCATACTGGAGAGCTACTTCCTCTAAAGCCCACCAACTGAAGCGAAACAGAAGCACCATAGATATCTACCGCTCAAATCAACCCTTGAAAATATCCCAGAGACTTGCGTTGATCAGAGACCGGTTTGTTTTCCAGGCAACACGCAGTACCTGCGTCAGGGTTTCCAGCACACCACCACTTCGGTCAGTGATGTGGCCACGGCCTTCTACAGCGGCTTGTGGGCCTACGACGGCTGGAACAACCTCAACTACGTCACCGAGGAGATCAAAAACCCTTCCAGGTGAGGCTGGCTTCGGGCGTCTCTTCGGTTTGGCTTTGCGGCTCGCGGAGCTTAACTGGAAATATTCTCGTCAAACTGGGCATCAAACCGGCCATTAGCTATGCTTGGTTGGCCACAAGCGTCCCCTGTCTCACGGTGTCGTAGTTTTCAACGAAGCAAATCAGTTTTATTTCAGAAAGCCGTTTCTTTTTAGGTAAATCTCCTGCTGTGACAGTGTGAGTGATTTGGCACGTAAAACAGTTCTGAATGACGGCGTGTTATTCATCTTCTGTCACCTCTGTATCCGGCAAGACGCTCTGTCTTGATAGTTTGCTTGCGCTTGGACCCCTGCTTATCTTTCTCTCCACGAACGTGCCCCGTTTGAAGCTCAGCGACGGCGGGTGTTGGACGGTCGGCGGCTCATCGCGTCTAATTATGCGTCTTACGCCATCGTGTGGCTGTCAGTTTCGCATTACGGCCTCCGCCGGCCAGCCGTCACAGCCGTCTGTCAGAGTAACGAGTTCGATCGGTCAGCGCCGGGACTTGGGCGGCGTCACCGCCCGAAGGCGGTCGGCTGGTGGTAGAAGCCACTCAGCCAGCGGCGGGATCCCGCCATGTCCGCGGACCACACGTGCTGTGCCGCCGCCTAGGGCTAGCGGGTGCTGCGCTCTTCTGCCAGCCGCCTCCCGACCCGGTCAGTGAGCCGGCGTGTCGTGTGGTCGGCAGGAACCTGCCGCTAGCCATCATCATCGGCCTGCCGCTGGTGACTGCCTGCTACCTGCTGGTCAACATTTCCTACCTGGCCGTCATGTCGCCGGTGGAGCTGCTGCAGTCTGACGCCGTGGCTGTGGTGAGTCCTGACACGGCCCGGACAGAAGGGTCCGACGCCGTGGCAGTGGTGAGTACTCATGTCCGTCCAGAGAGAGGGGGGTCCGACGCCGTGGCTGTGGTGAGTCCTGGCACTGCCCGGAGGGGGGGGGGGGGGGGTCCGATGCCGTGGCTATGGTGAGTGCTGTCACTGCCCGGAGGGAGAGGTCCGATGCCGTGGCTGTGGTGAGTTCTCATGCCGCTCACAGATAGGAGCAGGTGTAAGTGCGGGCTTGGAGGCTCTCAGAAGGCAACGGTAACGAACTGTGCGGCTTGATGGTGAGGCATGTGGATGATGAGCTGCACGGAAATACGAACTGTGTGACAAGAGGGTGCTGGAGAGCATGATGCATAATCAAATCTAGATTGCTGCAACCAAAAATACAATATTCCCTCGCATTTGCCACATGTTACGGCGTCATGTGTGTGCCTTTTGGTAACGTGTACATAAAAACATGAATGCATGACAATGTCGAATAAAAACCATCGCACGGAAAATTGATACGCAATGGTATGGTACAAAAACTGTCCTCAGTGCGCACAGTATGTGCAAAATACTAATTTGTACCAGATTTTCACAGAATGATCGCCATCAGCTCCCCTATATGGGAACTTGACATTAAGTCATTATCATGCTCAGATTTCCATAGCTTGTGCGTAGTTTACGATGCACAGTGAATCGTATGAGTAACAGGTGCAGTCGCACGGTAGCTCGATGAGTCGTACGTGCCGCATGCATATCATAAGAGGAATATCACACTGCCAGTGCATCTGATGACGGTTTTTGTGGCGGCTTACGCCTGTTTTCCTGTGAGAAATAGCGGAATACTCAACATTCACATGTATGCTGAGATCATTGCGTGAATGTCAGTTTAAGCCGAGCGCCGAATCAGTTTTAACTGGGACAACATCACCTTAGAATGTAAGCTTCCCGACACACGCCGGTATTTTTTTGGAGTGGGGGGGGGGGGGGCAGTAGCAATGAATTCCAGGCATTTTGACTCTCACGTCCGCATGGTACGGGTATAATTGTCAGAACTTCCTTACGCGTCTAGTCGCATTCTTTGCATCGAACCATCTATAGAATGTCTAAAATAACGGAAAATCCTAACACAGTTTGGATTATCCTTGGTAATCCTGATGTGCCAAGGCATATTACAGGCTGAAAGGTCTGGAGTCCTTTTGCTAGATTGCTTACCAACCCCGTGTTTATAGCCACGCCTCTAAAAGAAGGCGCCACCCGTGCTCCCTTGTGTAGCGCTGCCGGTCGGCACAGTTGGGTGCACGCACTCCCTCGATACGAATGAGGCGGAATTCCTGCGGCTGGTTCAGACACAGGGCCCGCCGCCGTCCTGTGTTGTGGCAACGCCGCGCTGGCGTCGTTCACGGGCGAGCTTGCTCGCTGACCCCTGACCTTCGGGGGGCGGGGTGGACCTGTTTGCCCCGGGGGTCTGGGACACAGCAGTTGTCGGGCATTGATCGTGCATTCCAGTGATGTTTGTCGATGCACGGGAGTGGAATAAAACAAAGCGTACTCCCACCACACGCACGCGAATAGCATGTTTGTCATGGCGTTGTAGAACATGAAGATAATTGAGTTTTTTTGGATGTGTGCTCTATATTAGACGCATACTGAGCTTTGCCCACGCCTGACATCTTACTGACGCCACGTCAGCCGTTAGGGGCCGAAAGGACTCAGTTCAGAAAAATTCCTTAGCCCCCGCTGGGCAAAAAATCTAGGGATCCGCTAAAATTTTCTGGAAAAGACCGTTGAATCATTGGAAGCAAGAGCCTGAAGTCGTTAGAAGCGGAATTTCAACATTACCCACCGTCTAGATGCGGCAGTATGAATAGCCTTCTTCCTCGTAGAATAAGCAGGAGAATGGGTGAAAGATGTGATGTCTGGCCCGTGATTTTGTCGAGACTAATATTTATTATCTAATACATAAAATAATGTTATTGTCTTGTATGATATGATATTAATATGGCTCGGGCATTTTATGAATATATATATATATATATATATATATATATATATATATATATATATATCTGTGTGTGTGTGTGTGTGTGTGTGTGTGTGTGTGTGTGTGTGTGTGTGTGTGTGTGGTGTGTGTGTGTGTGGTGTGTGTGTGTGTGTGTGGTGTGTGTGTGTGTGTGTGTGTGTGTGTGTTGTGTGTGTGTGTGTGTGTGTGTGTGTGTGTGTGTGTGTGTGTGTGTGTGTGTGGTGTGTGTGTGGTGTGTGTGTGTGTGTGTGTGTGTGTGGTGTGTGTGTGGGTGTGTGTGTGTGTGTGTGTGTGTGTGTGTGTGTGTGTGGTGTGTGTGTGTGTGTGTGTTGTGTGTGGTGTGTGTGTGTGTGTGTGTGTGTGTGGTGTGTGTGTGGTGTGTGTGTGTGTTGTGTGTGTGTGTGTGTGTGTGTGTGTGTTGAGAATGGAACTTGAAATAATGTGCGTTATTATATTATATAAGCATATATTATTTCGTTTCGATACCGGTCTGTAGCCCCATCATCGCAGCTGTCTCTCCTATTGTCCTGGTTGTTTTTCTACGAGGAAAATGGCTATCAATTCTGTCTCATCTGAATGTATAGTGTTTTATCGCAAATGCACCCTGACAACTTACGTAATTAGTCACCGTCCTTGAAAAAAAAAATGGGGTCCGTCCTTTCGTTCAGCAGGAATGGTGACCTCTGTCAAAAACTGGTCCGCCGCATCTTGCGTTCATGGGCCCGCTCATATGTTGCATGCGGGACTACGCTTTGATTTCTCTTGTATTGATTTGTTGCGTGCTGCGTGACGATGTTATGTACGAATTCATCAAGATAGAGTAGGGATCGCATGGTTTAATCTTATACTTCAGTGCGCTAAAGCATGCAATATCACTTTCCAACTGTCGGAGTATACTGTTCTAAAGATAAAAAGAAACAATTCCATGCGCATTACCCGTTTTTCCTAGCTACGAGTATGTAGAGGGTCTCTCGCATAGTTGTAGGCATTGTGATTATAGTAAACGTGGTCAGACGCCTGCCACAAAACACATTTTAGACGTTTAAAAGTGATAGGGGACAGAACACGAATGAACTGCACCTTTCGCGCGAACCGCACTCGCCTTTACTTAATCGCAATAGCTCGACCCAGTAAGGGTTCACTGCAGTGATGCTTCTTGACACCAGACCGACTGAGCTTTTCGACGTAATTTGCCTCTTGACCCTTGGCTGCGTAGTTTTCCAGCGATAACTGATCCCACTATCAAATGATCATGTCAGATAGAGGAAATCAAGTAGTCTAAAATTATTGTGACCAGTACGGTTTAGTTGCTTTCAACGGACCTTGTGCCATCGCAGATGCAACGTTCCCGATTAGTTCCATTTATATTTCTACATATGGGTTGTTCTCTCAGTTTAGAGAAGACGTGAATGCCGAGTTGCACATTTTAAATTTCGAATTCTCTAAAACGTATCTGGGAGTTTTGCGGTAGTTTAAAATGTTTGATTTTTCCAGATACCTTCATTCGATGCTAAGCCAGATCTGTTCGTCGGGCCAGAAAAGTAATGTAATGATACTTCTGCGAGCTACTCAGACCGTGTAAACAGGAGTGTGTTGGACGCGCTACGCTGTTAATTACACATGTTGTATCCTGCCAATCTGTTACAGACGTTCGGGAACCGCATACTGGGTGTTATGTCCTGGCTGATGCCACTGGCTGTCACATTGTCCACCTTCGGCGCTGCCAACGGCACCTGCTTCACCTCGGGAAGGTAGGCAAGCTGGCAGCACACTCAGGGATCGACCGCTGCCCCTCTGGTGGCGTAAACTTCAGGCCTTATGAACGTTGACCCGGCCAGGATCACGGTGTGCTTAACTGGGGTGAGGTTCTGTGTATTCGAGGGATGGTTCTGACATGGTCTTACGTAGTATTAAGTGAAGCTTTCGAAATAGTGAGGCAGGCACTTTGCCATTGGATAATGCACGCATGCCGTCATTTCAAAGCATGTTTTGAAGCTACCCAAGGGAGAACATCGGAACTGAATTGACGATGCGTCAATGAAATGTTCCTGCCTCAAGCAATTAGACCAGCTTCATATCAGCAAGAAAGGTCTTCAGCTCCTCATTTTTCGGCGGCTCAACCTTTTTTACCTGGATCAGAAGCACGGGTTGAAGCGCCGGGTGCTACACATATAAGCTATGTGTGCTCTGTAACGCCGTTTTACCAATACCCCTGGTATTCTGAAGGTCGATGACTTAACATAAGAACACCTCACTCATTAACACTGAGACAAATGCCCAAAAGTGTAGCAAAGGGCGCGCGTCTGTAATGCGCCGATGGGCTCCGACACCGTGGAACTCGTACATCGCCCGGCAGTATGAAACCCAAACAAGCCATGTCAGAGCGCCTCGTTAATGGACGCGCGGCGTATTTCACGAGAATATGTTGCAGGTCTTACGGCGTTGACGGCCACGTGGACAGCGACTTCTAGCGCGTCTGCCGCGTCCAGACCACACTATATCTGGGGCAGGCTTCCGAGCTCCGGTTGCGTCACGGGGGTTCATGCGGTTCCCTTCGAGGCGCACATGAATGACAACTGGATTCAACCGGTGTCGAGCGTCAGCGCTGGCAGGCTCGGGTCTGTGTGCTTCCTGACCTCTGGCCAGCGGCGTGCTCCGCGTTGAGAGAGGGACAACGCCAAACCCCAAAGACCGCAACGTCGAACAGCGCTGGGTCAAAGAGCACACGCATTATCGTTGCCTGTCGTCAAGACGCGGCGATTGACCTACGACGCATTGTTTCCGAGCCCCATGCGGGCGCCTGAACCCGGCATTGTTACTCGGATCGCCCGAGGTGCTTCATGCCCCCCGGTGACGGCCGACCTTTAGCAGCCGTACAATCGTCGGGTTGATGCACTTGGGAGGGGGCTCACATGATCCGGTTTCTCTCATGGTAATGTACACATCAAATGCTGTAACGGACAGGAGTGTTACAGCGATGTGGTAGCGTTTGCACGGAGGATTAGTTCTTAGTTATTTTGCATCGAGGCATCTTCAAAAAAAGGAGCATACAAAGCCAAGCACAAAATTACCGGGCTCAGTTGTTAGGATAACCTGCGAACCAGGCCGGGAGTTGTGGCGCAAGCGCTGAGTGGAGAAGGTTGAGAGGCTTTGGTTGGGGCTTCACAGAAACCCCATGTCTTTGAAAGCCTCAACATATCCGGATAAAACCGGTTTAAGCTCACGCAAACTGCTTCATGAGCATCGTCAGTCGATATCTGAAGTTTGAACCGGTCACGGAACGGTCTGCAGCCACGACTGCCAATGATTGGAGCCAATGATTATGGCCCCACTTGCATCAAAGCCAATTGTTCTCTGGATTGTTTCGTTGATTACAGTGGCCGTGTTCAGGTTCGGCTTTCCGTTTTAAGAACACGACTGGGTACCATTCCAAACAAATAAACGCAGCAAAGCTTGTACGGCATGCCTATTTAGATAACTGCCTTTCATCGAGTTACTGCGCTATCCCCACTTAAGCCGCATATTAGGAACAAATGGTTTTTCAGTGTTACGGCGATGTTCCCATGTCGGTGGTTTCATTGGACCGCGATGAAAGTGCAACGCCTCTCTCGGTCTCTCTCTCTCCCGAAGAATCTGTCGGTCGCCTCGTCGCAATCACCTCGATGCTTTCCGCTTCACCGCGATTTAATTTATATTCTTATGTCAGGGACCTCGACTCGAATATTGCAATGTTTCCATCAGACTGCGAGGAAATTTAGGACTCCATGGATACAAGAGCTGCTGATTTTACGACGTTCATTGATCTGGCGACATGCCGCCCTTGAAAACCCATCCGGCTGTCAACCAGCTAGCCAACATCAACAGGCCACCGTCATTCTGACCTACCCGGCTAGTTTTACCTGTGGCATGCCCGCACAGCTCCCTGCCAGCCGCGCCCGGTCTTATGGATCACTTGTTCGGTGGAGCTGCGTCGCACCTACTCTGTTTTTCTATCGCAAGCATCTCGCGGGAAAATCCAACCTGCTCAACCAGCGCCCAGCACAAAGACATAAGTTCAGCGAAACCAGGGCCTCATCTGCCTTCTCTGAAGTCTCATGGATCCCTTCCCCTCCCTTAGTGGAGGCAAAAATCGCCTTACTGGGAGACAGGGAAGTCACATAGCATACGATTCGTTTTAGTCTCTCGCAAACATTTGAAGAGTGCTGTCTTTCGCCAGGCAAAAGTGGTAGCAATCTAATGTTGGGTATGTCTGACTCTGACGAGATCGCATAGACCCTCTGTCAAATTTCCTGAAAGTAGGCCCGAAGGAGGGCGTGTCTTCTAAAAGCGCTGTCCGTTGGTTTCCAGGCTGTGCTACGCCGCCGCCAGACAAGGTCACCTTGTGGACGTGCTCAGCTTCGTACATGTCCGACGTCTAACGCCATCTCCCGCCCTCATCTTCAACGTGAGGTTTACGGCTTTCTCGTCGCGACTCCTGATCCATGGAGCCCCCAGACGTTGGTAGCCAAGGCTCGTGTGGCTCGCTTAAAGGCGTGAGGGGGGGGGGGCATATCATCCAGCTGAATATGTTCGTGCCTTAACATTATATTGCACGTTTGATACGCGCTGGAAGATTCCACTTCTGATCGTGTAGTCCTTATTGCTTTTATCTGGTGTTTTATCTGGAAATTGATGTTTCCGCCAGGGTGGTCGACGCGGTACATCTCATGACCCCGTCCACTTATACTGCCCCCTAAAATTATCGCTGCCGCCGCCTTCTACCTTTGCCCTTATCGGCAGGCCATCATCGCCATCGCCATGATCGCGGCCGGCGACATTGGCAGCCTGATCGACTTCTTCAGCTTCACCGTCTGGATCTTCTACGGCATGGCCATGCTGGCGCTCATCATGATGCGCAGGACCAAGCCCGACGCGCCCAGGCCCTACAAGGTTGGTGCCGCTGCCTCTGTCCGGCCTCGCCCGCGCAGCTTCCGGCGTGAAGGCCTGACCTCGCCCCTCCCCGCCGCTGTCGGGGAGTCCCCTCAGACCCGCTCGCTGCTGGGCGTTTGGCGCGCACTGTTGGTCGGACTGGCGCGTGCTGGGGTTTGGCGCAGGTGGCTGTCAGAGAGGGAGAGCATGGCCGCCCGCTCGGTCTCAGCCCCTGCCCGGCCGCTGGGTTGCAGCTCAGTTGCGCCGCCCGGACGGCGTTTTGGTGGTGGGCGCGTGCGTTTTTTTGTCTGTGCCGGCCGACCCGGCGCCGATGCTGGCGGACCGCCTGGTCGCTAGCTCGTGTCCCACACTGGCTCGTGGTTCTTTCAGGAGGTGCTTTGGTCGGTCGCCCGTCCAAAGACGCAGCGGGGCGACGGCGTCTCTCGGTCGAGTCGCCGTCCTGCGCATGCGCAGGGCGGGCGCACCTGGTAACTAATCGCCACTTTTCTGTAGAGATGTCGTTTTCAGGGAAGGAAGAGTGTGCAGCCATTTCGTGAGCTTCCTTCATAACACTTCGTGCATCCACCATGGTAAATTGTTCGTGTACTGAACTGGGCAAGGCCAAACCAATTTAAACGTGCTCTATAATTTCATTTTCTAAAATGTTCCATTTCATTTCGAGATCATGCACTTGTTTTTCTTACGGGTATGGGTGGCGGTGCAAGATGGTGCGCTGTTAGTTGTATTAGTCACTGAATGGTCCAACTCAAAACACAATAGCAGTCAATTAAGAAATATGTTGATATCCTTATGCTCATAATCTTGTGATATATGTGCGTAAATGTGTCTCATAAACGTGCGAGAAGCTCTTTAAATTGCGGTTTAGGTTCTGTCACCTTTTCGTTGCTTTGAGCATAAGATTACCAAAACGTTTCTTAATTTAAACAGCAGTGCTTAGCAGCTACGCACTTCACTACATACAATAGCAGTCGTATTAGTCTGTAGTAATTTTCCCGAAAGCTCATCAAAACATATTTGAAGCATTTGAAGTGTTTCGAAGGAGTCTGCAGGAATGCCTGTGCTGAGTGTAATTTCCGTATTTTATTCATCCGCAGGGCAGCCCCAATTCAGCAAGAATGTTAAAGCAGTAAACTCGGGCTAAAGCAGCGTGTGCTGCCACGTATTGTTGCTTGGTAACACGGATTTTCTGGTAGGGTTCCTGGAAGTGCTGTAAAATGCTTTAAAATGTTGAACGATAAGCTTTCGTGAAGAGAACTGTGTCTAAAATGTATGTTAGCTGCGATTTATTAAATGTGTGCCATGTAGAAGGACCATTGACAAAATTTTGAGTATTTTTAGCATACAGTCAGGTGGCTGTCTTTAGAAGATTTGTCCGGGGTCGTATGGGTGAGGACCCTTGAAACCAGGGTTCCAGTTTGCATAATCATGAAATGATATCGGAGACGTAGTGCCACAAATGGTTATTTAAACGTGAATACCACGTCAACAAGGTTTGGTAAATCAAAGCGCAAAGTAACACGTCACATTCAACCACTGCCCTCTTGGGACTCTGGGAATTGTATCGTTAAACTCTCTGCACTTTTTTGAATCGCACAAACAAAGGACTAATTCCTGTTCGTGTAATGGCCATTGCGCGTCCACATGCCAACAACCTTTGCTTTAAACGTAAGGATGCCCTCAGCGAACTTCGCTTCTCCTTACAAAAACCCGCGTCAAATAAAGAAATAGCTTGCAGACCAATGTAGCCCGGAACGTCACGACATTTGAACTGTCGTTTACCGGCGAAACCCCGCCGCGCCGGACGCCCATGACTGGCCGCCGGCCGGCCACGGCGGCGCGGCTGCTATCGTCGTCCCCGCCCTGGGGTGCCGGGATCCCCCCCCCCCCACCCCCGCTGGCCCGCCCCCCGGCCTGACACGCGCCGCCCCTCACCAGGTGCCGATCGTGATTCCGTGGCTGGTGCTCTTCATGTCCGTGTACTTGGTGGTGGGCCCGATCATCGACGCGCCGCAGATCGAGTACCTGTACGCGCTGGCGTTCGTGCTGGCCGGCCCGCTCGTCTACATACCGTTCGTCCACTACAAGTGGACGCCGGGCTTCATCCGTGAGTGGGGCTGAGTCCCGCCTGTGGCCGAGGTCGGCCTGGCGGAGCTCATTGGGCTGACGGGGCTTGGCTGTTTTGCTAGGGACGGACCTTTTGCAGGAGGGAGCTATGCGCGAACACAAGTCATTTTATGTAAACAACCAAGTTATTGGGTCGTTTGTTGAATAAAGTCATGACAGCGACGTAATTTCCTACAACTCGGATAGAGCTGTGCTCTTTTGCGTGTGAGCGTGCTGGATCGGCGAGTGTCTGCTAATTTGATCTACGGTTTTTCTGTACTCCTAGTCTTACATCATGCTGGAAAATATGTGAGCCACTGCATGGCAACATTCTGCACACGAAACCGGACGAAGCAAACTGACATGCGATTGGTGTGTTTCAGACAAGATCACCCTGTTCCTGCAAAAGCTGTTTGAGGTCGTGCCGACCAGCTACGACGACTAGTTGGTTGCGGGTCTGCCACATGGGCAGCGGAGGACTCAAAAATGCCACTGCATGAGCCACCTCCGCATGGTCGCGCGCCATCTGCGACGGCTGGGGTTCGGAAACGACCCTCATCAAGACTTGACGCAGACCAGAGGCTGTGTCCTGTGTCCTCTGAGATTTCGACCGGCAGGTCCTGATCACAGCAGCTCGCTTGACGGCCGGCTGGCTGCGGAGGATGACTGGTGGTAGCGCACGTGACGTTAGCGGGCTAATGCCGGCTGAGGCCGGGTGCATCAAGAGCGGCACTCCGATTCGGGCGGGCGTCTTTCGTTGCCGCGCGGTGTCCCGGCCGTGTCTTTGGTGGTAAAGTGGCTCTCAGTTTGCCCAGAAACCATTTGGGCTACAGCTGCCTGTCTTTAGTGGGAGAAAAGGAATGCCTCGTTTTGTCTTGTGCGGACGGCTGTTAATCATCATGGCGTTTCGAAACGCATGACCGTCAACGGCAAGCATCTGCATCTATGTGAACACTGTATGTACATCACATGTACTCCTCTAGCTTTGAAGCTCACCGATTCAACCGCAAAATTCCCCTCACAAAAGCGGGCCCGGAGACACCGTGCCACATCTGAGGAGGCCTTTCGTGCTGACATCGCGCTCAAAACAGACGCGGTCTTATCATTCCGAGATGGTCTTGACCTCGGCGCCAGTGGCCTCCAGCTGTCAGGGGTTCGGTGGGGTCCGCGGCGCCGCGCCACGGCCCAGGCAGACCCCGGCCCCGCCCTCCAAGCCGCATCAGTGATCCTTCTACACACACCCACTAACGAAATCGCGGCCTGGCTGCGGCGGCCGCCGGCCGCGCCTCGGCCGTCCTGCCGCGGGCGACCCCAACTCGGCGACGCGTCAGCCCGATGAGGGCCGGGCGGGCCCCGCCCGGGCCCAGCGGGCTCCGGCTCGGCGGGCCCTGGCGGGGCTCACCTGAATGAGGCGGACTGCCGCTCGGCGCTGAGGGGCCTCCCGCGCCGGGCCGGCTGGGGTGGCCGGCGGCCTCCGCGGCCTCTTCTCTTGCGCAACGCCACTTTGTTATTTTTGTATTGTTACCCGAGTATTTTTGTATGTGGCGGCTGACCTCCGCTTCGGCTGGCTTCCGGGCGGTCGCGTAGCGACGAGTCCGGCGCGGCCGGCGGCAACTCGTCCGGTTTAAATGTGATTAGGGGCTGCCGGGCCAAGCAGCGGACTGAGAGGCTGCACGTGGCGGCGGGCGGCGCGACCCTCCTGTATCGGTGGCCGGCGATGGCCCCCTGGTAACGTCTGACTTAGCTCTCTCTCCACGTGCAACATAGTCACGGTAGAGGATGTACAGGGTCGTAACAGTGCTGGGTTAGCTCGAGTCTTAGAGTTCCCTGCTTTAGTATAAGTAGATAGACGCTCTGTTTTTCCGTTTCGTGTTCTCGCGAGGCCTTTAGGAAAAGGATCATTCCCTGGCCGCTAAGCGTGGACGTCTGTTTGAGTCCCTCGAACCGCCCCCACTAGTGCAGCAGCCAGCCGCTAGGGCCGTGCCGACGCCCCGCCCCTCGTGCCGGTAGACCGCCATGTGCTCCGTAGGACCGGTCCGCTGACGTCGAGCCCCGTCGAAGTCTGCGGAGCGGAGTGTGCCGCTGTGGCTGGCGGCGCTTCAATGTGAGTGAACCGGGATCAACAACTTGTGGTCAGGTCGTGCGGCTGTTAAGTGCTCTCCGGTGGGGAGGCTCTGGCTGCGCCGCAGAAGGCCGGGAGCCGCGTCAGCTTCGCCTGGTTGACGGCAGGCGGCGCTCGTGGCGCCAGTGCTGTTGTTGGCAGGCGCGGTGCCGTTTGGGAGGCCTGCAGATGGATTGCGTCGGCCGGAGGTCGTGTGCCGATGGCCGAGTCCACCCTGGCGGGGGCAGGCTCGAAGTCGGGGCGAGCGCGGGTGTCTGGGGCCTGCCGGGAGCCAACAGACCGTCGCCAGACGCTCGTGAAGCGGGAGACGTCACGGCGCCGGCAGAGTCGGGGCGTCGCAGGCACCGGCATGGGCTCAACTATCGAGTGCACGCGGGTCGGGGGGCAGGGCGCGGTGGTGAGTCCGCCGACCGGAATGGCTGGAGGGAGGCAGACTAGCTGCTGTGTTAGCCGATGGGTGCGTGGGTGATCGTGGCAGGACTCCGGTGGTACCAGTGCAATATCGCCCCAGCGCGATGGGTTGTAACCGCTTTGCAATGATGCAGACTTGTGGAGTGCAAGGTTTGCTTTCTGATGCTCTTTGTTATTCAATAAACGTGTGTGACAATAAGGACTCTCACGAACTAGCATCGAGTGTGATTCGACACAAGAGGGCCCTGTGGCAAGCGCCTATAGACGCGTCAACGAGCGCGCGCCTTTGTGGCGTTCCGTCTTCAGTTGTCATATAGCCGTGCACATAACGTGTACCAGCGCAAATACCGTAATAAGCGCAACAACTGATATGAGTGGTTTATATGGCATTAACAATGCATAGCGATCGCACATCTTGACGAACAAATAACCAATCATGATTAAACCGTTATTCGAGCATTATGCAAAATTGATATAAGATGCAAACCAACGAATGACAGCTAACACTTCCTCTGATCCCACTGGTCACATCGGTGTCGATACAGCTCGCGTTTGTTTCGAAAGTTTGTTCTGCCTCGTCTGCTGCCTGTTACGGCTGCTCGGTCGCCGTTCGCAGCCAATGGCATCACCCCTCCTTACCCCTCCCCTCCAGCCCGTATCGATCGGAGCCCGATGCGGCGCGTTGCGTTCGACGCTGGCGGGTCACGTGACGCCGTGACCGTCGCCTCTCGCGGGCTGACGTCACTTGCTGCGGAGACGCTCTCCTCACGGCTCCGCTCGCAGGTGACGTCACCTGTCCCGCAGCCCGTCGACGTCGACGGCGTGGGCCCCGAGCACGGCGCTCCGGCAAAAGCAGGCGGCCACGGCGCGGACGGCGGGTCGGCGCATGCGCAGTGGCCGCGCCAGTCGTGGAGTGCGGCTGACCGCGGAGGGTGTGCTCTCGGCGAAAGCTCCTCTGATGAGCTTGGAATGGGTGCGAGAAGGGAAGAGTGCAGCTTGGTACTCATAAACTGGTCGCCGCTCGTGCCGACGCGGCACATTGTGGTGACGTGCGCCGCCATCCTCTTCATCTGCATCGGGTCAGGTGGGTTGATGTCGTCGTCAGAACAGTGAGTTGTTTATGTTGCTTTCTGTGCACAGCTCAACTTAGTCTGTCTTGGCTTCACAATCAGTGGTGATCAGCGCGATCTGTGTCGGCTAAGTCGCGCATTTTCTCCACCAGCACTGCAAGGAATTGCACTGTTTTTGTAAGCCGTGTTAACTGTAAGCCGTATTAACTCGAGATGCCTCTCAGAAGCTCACCAGTCTTCAGACGACGAGTGTGGACATGCTTTCTGCCGGTGACGCTCGGCGACAGCGGTGAACTGAAGGGCGGTGCGTCCCACCTGTGCCAGTCGGGGGCAGTGACAGCTGGCTATCGATTGGCGACGGACGCGTGTATCGCTGCGTGTCTGTCGAGCTATAAGACCCGGCACATCTGAAGCACCGTAGAATATGACGCGGTCATGTTGTATGATGTTAGAGGGAAATCAGGGCGGCAATGAAGCTGGAAACAATGATCGGTTGATCTACGCATATATAAATTACCTCGGGTTTGCATACTTCCCTTTTCAGTTTGGGGAAGGACTTTAGCAGCCCCCTACCCCAACTTCGAGAATAAAGCGGATCACATCCAGGGAAAACACATTTTGTGTATCTTGGTGGCATGTTAAGTCATTTTCCCTTCTTAGCCGCACCATGTTGTTTTTTGCAAAGCTTCGTCGCTGGGCTGTTTGCAACTGCCGGATTTCATCCAAGAGCAGCTTGGGCTCAACACAGATCATCTGGATGAAACGAAACGACGTCTGTGCTGCGCAGGTGGAGTTCAAACTGCCACTGGGGACCGGATAATCGGCGTTCATCGGCACGGTCATCATAGACGTGCGGAGCCACGGGGCAGCCAGGATTGTCTTGGGGGGGGGGGGGGGGAAATTCAGCCAGAACGCATCACGTTTTTTGTGTCTTTTTACTTTCTGTCAGGATTCATATATGGAGAAAAGTAAAAACATTACGGATCAAGAGTGGGAGGAGACTGTCCCTTGGCTGCGTCTGTGTGTGGAACAAAGGCCGGCGCTGACACGGCCTGCCTCGGCAGCTGACATTGTCCTGGAGCAGCTGGCACTGTCCTGCTGCAGCTGACACAGTTCCGCAGCAGCTGACACTGTCCTACTGCAGCTGGCACAGTCCCGCAGCAGCTGACACTGTCCCGCAGTAGATGACACTGATCCGCAGCAGCTGACACTGTTCTGCAGCTGCTGATACTGTACCGCAGTAGCTGACACTGATCCGCAGCAGCTGACACTGTTCTGCAGCGGCTGATACTGTCCTGCAGCTGCTTATACTGTCCCGCAGTAGCTGATACTGTCCAGCTGTAGCGAGACAGTGTCAGCCGCAGCTGACACTGTCCTGTCACAGCTGACACTGTCCCTTTTCAGTGTCACCCCTAGAGGTCACAGATCGTCAGGGGCGCATAGGGGAGCCGCTCAACTGCTACTCGTGCCACTCACAGACCACTGGTGAGGCCTGTAAGGACGGCACTCTCATCCAGAACAAGACCGAGTGGCAGGCCCAGTGCTCCGCCAAGCACACAGCCTGCATGGTAAGAGATCCTTCCATTGGAATCTGTAAATTTCCGGAGATCGCTCCAGCAGACTAAAGTCAGGCAAAGTAATATTGTTGTCGATGCGCCCTTAAACACAAAACAAACAGCGGACTTTGTCAGGAGTGTGGTTTCCTACTTAACTCCACCCCCATCCCCCACCCCCTCCCTCAGCTTTGGAAGAAAGTGGGGCAAATTTAGGGAGAAACCTATTTGTTAACATATCCTGCGGGTAGGTTGGGTCACTTTCAATGTGCAGCCGCCCTTACCCCTCCCAGCTCACGTTGTGAAACTGCGTCCCTGGCTTATGCACTTACGGGGTGCAAAAACATGACAGGGTACATATGGTGCATACGGAAGCCATCGCACCGAGAAAAATCAAATAGCATTTGCTTCCTTTTGCAACTGTTGCGATCCTGTTCGGTTCCCTTGCCTGTAGGAAAGGAACTTACAATGCCATTTTTACTAGCATGTATCTCAAGTTGTGACACCTCATGATTTAAAGGGTAGCTTGCTTTGCAAAATAGTTGTATTTTACGCTGTGCGATTATTTATCATATTTCTATGTTTTTTTACCATATCTCTATTATCTCTCATAATTTAGATATATTACTAGCATGACCTTTTACTCCAGGCTGACACCTTTCACTGTCATCTATTGCCCCCGGTGGTACTGTTAGAGTACCAACGCGAGAGCCTGCCCGACATCCGCGGGTCTCGGTCTTCTCCCTTCTTTGGAAATGGTCTCCAGGCTGACACCTGGCCGACTGTTCGTTATCGGTGGTCTTTGGGCGATACAGGGGTCCTCACCGTGTTTAGTTCCTCCCCTCCCCGCACCGTCACAAGAAGCCCCCAAATAAAATGCGTGAACCCCAGCCCGTGGGACCAGAGTTCCTTGAGCCCTTAGTGCCCATTGGGCCTCCAATCGGCCCCTTGATCGTCTGCGTGGGGGGGGGCTCTTTGGGCTCCCTGGACCCTAAGGGAGGGGGAGCATGTGCTCCTGTGCTCCTTCCCATAGCTGCACCTCTGGGACTATGGAGGACCTTGAGGCCAAGCATTAGCAAACGCTGGAAAGTCTTTTCAGGCGCACTGTGGAGGAAACATGGAGTCAATTTCAACTTGTGACAAGATATGTCAGCAGGTGAAAAAGGTCAAGTTAACGTTATGCACTCTTGGAAATGGGTGTAATGTACGACTGGATCGGTGGACCTGGACCTGGATCCGGAGGTCTGACATTATCGAACAACCTATCTAAACACTGCGAAGGTTTTTCCGCAGCCCGACTTCCCAAGTTGGAGAACCCGTTATAACTTTTCCACACGAAGTTGCGATGCAGCCGTCAGCTAAGCTTTTGGAATACTTTGGATGCTCTTTTGTTTCTTCATATCCGGATGTCTGCCATCGTTCGTTCCACACAGCTGAGCATCTGCCGACACTAAACCATCCAGCTGGCATAAAACAATCGCGTATTGGCATCATCAGCAAAAAATTCCTAATACTTCAGTGATAAACGAAGCAATCAACTTCACACCATGGTGGCCACAATGTTAGCAAAAGTTTGCGACGTAGGGCTGAGAAACTCAGCAATACGGTCAACCCAGGTCACATATCCCCTAATATCGTCCCCGACCCCATGGCAGGGCCTGCATCTGATGCGGTCCATTTAATCCCGTCCCCGACCCCATGTCAGGGCCCGCATCTGATGCGGCCCATTTAATCCCGTCGCCGACCCTCACATGTCAGGGCCTGCATCTGATGCGGCCCATTTAATCCCGTCACCGACCCTCACATGTCAGGGCCTGCACCTGATGCGGCCCATTTAATCCCGTCACCGACCCCCACATGTCAGGGCCTGCACCTGATGCGGCCCATTTAATCCCGTCACCGACCCCCCATGTCAGGGTCAGCATCGGCTGCGGTCCATGCTATGCGACTTGCCATCGTTTTAGATAAATATCGGGACGGAACCTAACAATGTTGCGGCGGATGCGTGAGGGAGCTCATACAAGTTTTGCACGTAGCTAACAACGCCCATTTTTCCAGGTCAGGGTCTACAAATCATCGAGCACTGTGAATAAGTCGGAAGCGCACACCAGCATCTGGTCCGTTGAACGCGCATGCGCGGAAGAGTGCGAACCAGACTGTTTAACTATCGGCGAACGCACCAAGATCATATCATGTATATCTTGCTGCACCGAGGACCTGTGCAACTATGCAGATGGTGCAGCCACCTGGCGACAAATTACTCAAGCTTTACTTTGGGTGGCAATGACGATAGCGCTCGTGTTGCAATATGACGCGCGTGGTGGCTGCTGAGCAGGTTAAGTGCAATGAACAGACGGGTGCTCTCTGTGCCGCGCGTCAGTGGACGATGATTCGTGCTTCGAACACGCCCAGTGTACTGTGAATAATTGCGTGGTCTGAGTCTCGTCTTTTGTGACGAAGCGCTCTAACCTATGCAAGCAAGAGCCTCGAAATGTAGAGACTTGCGCGCCGCCCAGTTGCGTTGCGGTTCTGTCTGTTGCGCTCTTGTGGTGTGCTCCTGTGACGCGCTCTTTCCCGTTGCGCTGTTTTGTCGTTTGCTTCGTGCCATATTGGCGGCGGCAAAACAGCCTTCAAAACGTTGGGAGCCGGAACGGTTTCTGATCTGGCTTTTACCACGAGACGTTGTACATGGCTACTGCTGAATTTTCGTAAAGCTGGGGAGGGGGGACACTGTTTACCTCCCTCTGTTCCCATGCCGCTGCATCGCGATCATGTTTTTTGTGGATATATATATATATATATATATATATATATATATATATATATATATATATATATGTCTGAAGGGCCTGACTGCCATTCGTTGATGGAGGTTGAGCTGCCGAGTGCACAAGAAGTCCGCTTTTAGTTCCATGCGGTGTTAAATTTGTCCGTTTGTTAGAGTTGTTCGTCTTATCATAGGTCATTTATCGCCATAAGATGATTATTATGATCACTAGTTGATCGTGGAGGTACCGATAATATTGCTGTGGCTTCAGAGTCTTGCTGCGGAGGTAGGAACTCTGTGACCTGATTGCTGACAAAGAATAGACTGCTTTAGGCTGTTCACCTCCAATGCTGTGTATGATGTAACCAAATAAACTGATGCATGTCGACGGTAAATCCATTTGGTGCAAATAAAAACAGTGCCTACCGTTCCGTATCCTATTGATAAATCACAGCTAGTCGTTTGGCTTCGCCAATCTGATGGCCTGGCTTCGGATAACAATGCTTCTTTTTAAGCAAGTGTCCCCCCTTGTTTGCACTTCTGACTTATTGCTGCATCAGACGTGTCCGATTTGATCACCTATACCAGTTTTTTTTATTAAAAATCCTGAATAGCTCAGAACTTCTACTTCATGCAGTCGTTCCTGCGAGAGAATCTCGTTTGACTTTGTTCGCCGCCATAAAAGCAATGCATTTTGTTCGCCTTGCTTTTCAAACACGTATGTTCTTTAATATTTGTAACACACTAATGTAATAAAATGATTGTGTAATAAATGCTACGAATGCTTCATACACTCTGTTTAGGCAAAATATATGCGAACCTGAAGGTATTATCTCGCGAACTCATGACGCTTTATACTCTGGCTTTGATTTCTCCCCAATGGTGTTTACCACAGAAGCTCTTTTCAGCGCGCAATCGGCTTTGAAAATGGTGGTATCACATGATGCATGTGATGCACCGTCTCAAACCTGAACCGGTATGCTCCTCGCTAACAGGCCGTTGCCCGTCTGCTCAATCACAAACGTTGTTTTACTCGCACCAGTAGAGGTGCACGCGGTGGTTGTCATGACGACGGTGGTTATGACTGCTGGAAAGATGCGAGGTGCTGTTACAAAGCAATCACAGCGTAATCTGGAGTTTAAAGTAATGTAAATGGATATTCATATTATATCTTAACTGTGCTGCAGTGGCATTACCCAGTGTTATCATAAGACCCAACTAGTCCTCAGGCTTTCACCTCAGTATGTTTTCGAAATATGCCCCAAATGTGTGACATTCCCTATAAAGAGAGTGCCACACCTTAAGAGCATAACAGAATACTCCATATAGAGGGAGTGTTCTACATTTATATGGGCTTTTCAATAAAACAAACAACTTGAAAACCTTTCGGTGCTGTAAACAATCCTACCCTTCTCAAGACCTAAAGCTCTCTAGTTTCTGAGCTACACGCCCACGAAATGGAGAAAGTTATATCGGAAGAGTACTTCAAAGTCACCTTGGTATTCGTGACGTCCTTATAACGTCATTAAAGTTTTGCTGTTCCAAAGGCCGTGCGGCGTTCAAGGCCACGAAAAAATAATTGTCGATGCATTCATATCATTCATTCTAGTTGTCGATGCAGTCATATCCTTCATTCTACTTGTCGATGCATTCATATCCTTCATTCTAATTGCCGATGCATTCATATCTGTCGACGCGTTCGTGACCGTGATTTCCAGATATTACAGCCGTCAACTGGATCGCAGTCAATGCTGCGCAAGGTACGATGATGCAATCAAATCATGACGCATTGAGGAGCATATTTACTAAACAGAGAATTGTGCGGTTTAAAGCAGCCTTTTCAACTTAAAAAGCATACCAATAGTTGTAAGTGAGCATGTTTCATCACATCTGATGCTCGCTTCAGTATCTTCAAATGTAAAATATCCCCTTTGATAGACTACAGAACATTGCTTGAGACAATAGTACAATAGTATAAACGAATTAAATTGGTTCCCTGAGTCCAAATTACAGTGGCAGGCGCCCATATTTTTCACGACATTTGAAAAACGGAACCGTTCACCCCGTGATCTTGGGCAGGACAGTTTACAGTGGCTTCCCTCCGCAGCCACACTTCGGCAAACTTTTTGCATCATACAGCTTGTGTCGTAGAATTGTATGCGTAAAAGTTCGCTGATGAAAATAAATGTCGCGTAGAATGTGTTGGACTAGAGGCTTTGCCACGTGGAAGTGATGATGCGCAAAAGTTCTTGTGTTAGCAGTTTTGTCGTACAGAAGTTAATACATGAGTTGTATTAATGAGTTATGTTCTAGCTCTAGTCCTGATTCTAATGCTATCATATTAGACGTAAGATCGCCTGCAATTTTTGTGTTAAAAATTTTAACACGTAGAAATAACTCCGTGGATAGGATAGGATATGGTAGGATAGGATAGGATAGGCATTTGAGTTAAAGGTCATGTACTGGAGGTTGTTAGCAGCAATTGCCTCAGACGTTCTTCCGTGGAACCGATCACATAGCCCATGTTTTGTTTTGTTTCGTGGGTACCTTGGCGTTGGAAGCATTTGACATGACATAATCTGAACATGAAATAAATAAATGACCGCACTCCCAACCCGTATGTTCTTGTGACACCTAACAACGCTGGTCGCTCTGCCAGTCGCCAAACGATGCGTGCTTCAATGAATTTTATGAGCAGCTTTCCTTCAGGCGAATTCTGTTTAGTACGAGGTTGTATGTATTTCATCATACAAAATCAATTTTGATGCGCTGCTTTCACGCACTCAATTGATAGTCATGTGTCATTGGCAGTCAGTCGCGCACTGACAGATAGGTGATATAAGTCTTTGCAATGTGGCTGTTCTTTGCAGGGATGTCAATTTTGTACATGATTGGGGGCTAAGCTAAAGGCTAGGAGACCTCCCCCACTTTAGTAGCAGACAGAAGAGCAGTAAACAAAATGTCACTCGGCCAAAAAGAGTTTCGATGAGACTGGTGTGTCAGTGGCGTTAATATCATATTCAGGCTTTGGAGAAAGCGTCTGGGTTTACAATTGAGGAACGAAACAAAAAAGACAAATATAAAGTGATTTACCCACAATATCTAACGGGACCGCCTACTCTATGAGATAGCTTTGAGGTTGCGGAGGTTATGTTAACGCTCTGCACTCTTCACGGTGATGCCACTACCTGAGAGGGTCAAAGGAGCTAGTCTTTGTGTGATGGTTAACTTTTCCTCCGCCTTTGTAATGTTTCAGAGAAAAAACGTTATTGCGGTGGTCCCAAAGAAGTATTGGGGAGGCAGCTCAATAGGGAGGGGGGGGGGGGAGAGCAGGGTACTTAAGAAAAAAACAATATAAATTGACACCTGTGGTACTTGAGGGCTCGGTCTAGATAAACCACAGGCATACCAACAGGCAACCAGAGACAATAACCCCATCCAAGGCCTCCGGGTGAACGCGTCTGGATTGATGTGGACTAAAAGGCGTAGGATCTAAAGCAGCAACCAGACTAGGTGCATGCTACTGGCCTGCAACTAGACGGGCTTAGCAGGCAGTGACAGCATGGTGCTCGCCTTCCACGCATTCAGTTGAGCTCATCGTTTGCTGGCGCCGGTAGCGTCGCAGTGTCGTCCGGCCACAGACCGTTCCACACGCCGTTCCATTACTGGCCGTCGAACCCGCTAGATCGAAATCTTGCGACTGCACTATGGTTAGTTACCTTCGAAGTACTTTTACTCGGTGGGTTTAGCGCCATCTGAAACATGACAAGCTGTCATGTCAAACTGTGGCGCCATCTATTGCTGATGACGGCGCCACACATCGGATTGCGCTGATGCGTTTCATTTGATTTGTGGGCAGAAATGCGTTTTAAAAAATGTTCGTCTAGCGATTCTTGATAGGAGGAAATTCTGCATGCCTTAAGTTCATCAAGATAAATTATGTAAGGTACGAAGTTTTATTTGTCAAAACTTTATAATGTAAAACGTTCGTGTAAGTTAAAATGGTATTGTAAAATGTTCGTCAGGAAAAATTCGTGACGGGACATTGGTATGCGCATGTGCTGGTATATAAATGTCCACAGTTTTTGAACCCTTTAATGCAAATTTTCTTCCGGGATGAGGTTTGTATGGCAAAAATAATGTGCGCAAATGTTCGTATACCGATGCCTGATGTATATGCATAATCGTACGCCGGACGGTGGGTAATGTAGGTACGCTAGACTCGTACGCAAATAGTCGTCGGAGATAATGTTTGTTTGATAAAGGCACGTGCGTAAAAGCTAGTGAACAGATGTGTAATGTGATTTTGCGAGTGAACTGCCATCATTGGTGTTGGGCTTCGGATGGCCTGTAGATGCGTAATGTCAGCTCGCATGTGAATCATCATCGTTGGTGTTGGGTCCCGGATGGCCTGTAGATGCGTAATGTCAGCTCGCATGTGAATCATCATCGTTGGTGTTGGGTCCCGGATGACCTGTGGATGTGTAATGTCGGCTCGCATGTGAATCATCATCGTTGGTGTTGGGTCCCGGATGACCTGTGGATGTGTAATGTCAGCTCGCATGTGAATCATCATCGTTGGTGTTGGGTCCCGGATGACCTGTGGATGTGTAATGTCAGCTCGCATGTGAGTTTTCATCGTTGGCGTTGGGTCTCGGATGACCTGTGGATGTGTAATGTCAGCTCGCATGTGAATCATCATCGTTGGTGTTGGGTCCCGGATGACCTGTGGATGTGTAATGTCAGCTCGCATGTGAATCATCATCGTTGGCGTTGGGTCCCGGATGACCTGTGGATGTGTAATGTCAGCTCGCATGTGAATCATCATCGTTGGTGTTGGGTCCTGGATGACCTGTGGATGTGTAATGTCAGCTCGCATGTGAATCATCATCGTTGGTGTTGGGTCCTGGATGACCTGTGGATGTGTAATGTCAGCTCGCATGTGAATCATCATCGTTGGTGTTGGGTCCTGGATGACCTGTGGATGTGTAATGTCAGCTCGCATGTGAATCATCATCGTTGGTGTTGGGTCCCGG